CTGCCAGGGGGGGTGGGAGAGGTGGCTTCTAGAGCAGCGACCAAAGCCCCACCAGCTTCCCTGCTGGAGGACGCAATGGGTGCAGGGCCTTTGCCTGGGTCCAAGGGGATGAGGCCATGGCTAAGAGACTCAGGGAGGGTTCTGACTACATGGCGAACGCGCTCCACTCGTGCAGTTGGGGAGTTGGCAGAGTGGGGACGTGCTGTTCAAGGCCAAGAGGCACGGCATGTATGGAGGGGAGGTGCCAGGTTGGCAAAAAATCCACTTTGAGGTCAGTCAAGCATGGAAACAGGGGCCCAGGGAGACCGCGGGGTGCCTGGAGGTGTCTGAGGTCTGGTTCAAACCCTGGGCGACCTGATCCAAAGCCGCTGGTGGCCCTGCTCCTCCCGACGAGACTTGGAGCAGAGCCCTCCCACGTCCTCTCCAACCTGAACGGTCCCTGCAGTGTTGGGATCTTGCAGCTTGGTCTCGTCGCTTCCCCGTGGCCATCGGTTAGCCATTTCCAAAGGTCGCTTGCTGCTCGCCTTCCTCAGCTCGGCGCTGGCCTGCGGACGTTCCCACCATCCTGGTCCTACAGCCCATTTCGCTTGTGTCTGTTGTCTTCTTCCCAAGGAGCCTGGAAGGAAAATAGGAAACTCCAGTCTTGTTGGTTCCTAATGGGAGCTCTGCTCTGGATGCTGCTTGCAGACGGCAGCAGGAGCAGGCAAGTCTGTGCAGCGCAAGTACTTGCGCAGGTGATTACACGCCTAATAACACTGGCTACAGCGGGTCTGAGTCTCACACCATCCAAATCCCCACCCAGCACGCTCACCTCTCGCAGGGCCACTGTCTACCCACCAAGATGGAGCAGAACATCACTGCTTTCTGCTCTCCATGCTCTGTGTCACCAGAAAGTACACGTTCCAACCATGGAGCCCCTTCACCACCTCTCAGCGGCTGGCCCAAGTATTTCTTTGGTGGTTGCCAGACCTGGAGCCGCTCAAATACTCGGGGAATAGTCAGCTCTGTCCCGTCTGCCAGGCTGAGCGAGCCTGGGCAACAGATGTGTCCTTTTGGGCAGGCCTGGGTGTGACAAACCCATCCCTGCTCTGCGCCTGCCTAGCTGTATGGTCTTCCCAGCTGATGTCAGGGTGGTTGAAGTCCCCCATGAGAACCAGAGCCTGTGACTGTGAGGCTGCTTGCAGCTGCCTGTAGAAGGCTTCATCAACCTCCTCCTCCTGGTCGGGTGGCCTGTAGTATACACCCACCGTAATGTCACCCGTGTGAGCCTGTCCCTTAATTCTAACCCACAAGCTTTCAACTCCTTCTTCACTTGCCCTGCTTGGAGCCCCAGCAGCAGGCAGGTGGAGGGGGCTGCGGGGAGCTGGGGATCTTCTCTGCCTGCTCCTGGGTGCTCTGGGTGAATACGTTGGCACAAGCTGAGCCTGCAGTGTTAGAAATGCTCTCGCCACGCTTCCCAGGCTGGGCTTCAGATTAGCATCTCTGGGTTCAGCCTTCCCAAACTCACCCCTTAAACTGGGACATCGCTGGCCACAGCCCGATTTGGACCTGTTTTCCACTTGCTGGGAGTGTTTTCAAGTGCTCTTCCCAGCTCGTGGTGGAGGTGACCCTTCTCCATCAGTTACAGGGACTCCGGGAGCCGGGGCTTTAGAGGAGTGAAGTGGTGGGCAACTCGGTAACACCGGAGACATGCAGCCCCATGTGCCAAGATGACGGGGAGCCCTCGGTCCATGCTGGGACCCTGGCTCTGCGCGGGGCAGGCAAGGGGCCGGGGCTGGTGCTGG